TTATCCTCTTCCTCCTCCCCTTCCCCCTCCTTTTCCTCCACCTACTCCTCCTCCTCCTCCTCCTCCTCCTCCTCTTCTTCTTCTTCTTCTTCTCCCTCCTCCTCCTCCTCTTCTTCTTCTTCTCCCTCCTCCTTCCTCTTCCCCTTTGTTCTCCCTCACTCCTCCTCTCCTTCTACATTCATCCCTCCTTCTTCCGTCCCTCCTACCTCTATTTCTCCCTCCTTATTTCTTCTCCCCTTCTTTACTCCTCCCCATGCCCCCACATCTCTTTCTCCCCTCCATTCCCTTCCTTCACATTTCTTTCTCCCCTCCATTTCCCTCTTTCACACACCCCTCTTCCCTCTCCCCTCGTTTCCCCCAATTCACTGCTACCCCTCCTTGTCCCACTCCCCTCCCCTCTCTCCACCCACATCCTCGCCTCCTCCACATCTACCACTCCCCCCCCCCATACTTCACTCTCCCTCTCCTCTCCCCCCCACTACTTCACTCCACCCCTCACTCCTCCCCTACTCCCTCCTACTCCCCCCTCCTCCCTCTCTCCACCCACATCCTCGCCTCCTCCACATCTACCACTCCCCCCCCCCCATACTTCACTCCCCCTCTCCTCTCCCCCCCACTTCACTCCACCCCTCCCTCCTCCCCTCCTCCCTCCTCCACCCACCCCCTCAGCTCCTCCACCTCCTCCACTCCCCTCCCTCCCCCCCCTACCTCACTCCTCCCCTTCTTACCTCCCCCCCCCCCCTTTGCCTTTCATTGTGTGTATACGAGTGGGTAAATGTGCCAACCTACACCTAATGGAATGTCTGTTCTCACGTTAGTTCTCAAAGGAGAGAGAGAGAAAGAGAGAAAGAGAAAGAGAAAGAGAAAGAGAGAAAGAAAGGAGGGGGAAGAATGGAACCAAAAAGATTTTGTATTACCTCTTTCGTTCTCTCTTTCTTTCGTGATTATCCATTGTCTTGATAACTGTTGAGGTTCTCATCGTCATAAGTGACTAATACGTCTATTGTCGTCGTTAATGTTGTTATTACTGTTGTTATCATATTTCATTATGATTGTATTAGTCGTAATGATAACGATATTACTAACATTAAAATTGATAATGAAACTCAAAATTAATGTTAACAGTAACATTAGTAATAACACACACACGCACGCGCGCGCAAGCACACACACACACACACACACACACACACACACACACACACACACATACATATACATATATATATATAATATATATATATATATATATATATATATATATATATATATATATATACATATATATATATATATTTATATTATATATATATATATATATATTTTTTTTTTTTTTTTAACAGCCATTCATTCCACTGTAGGACATAGGCCTCTCTCAATTCACTATTGAGAGGTTATGTGGCAGTGTCATCCTTGCCTGATTGGATGCCCGCGGTTCAGCGCGCTGATACTTGTGCCACGGCGGTGACTTCCCCTACGACACCTGCGTTTGACTTCTCAAGGCGATATGCCGTTTTCTCGGGCTTGAGCTTGCAGTCAGATTTTTACGACTGCCGCGATGGAGACTTGAACTCGGGAACACAAAGGTCGGAGTCCAGGACCATCGTGGCAGTCACATATATATATATATATATATATATATATATATATATATATATATATATATATATATATATGTATGTATATATATATATATTTATATATATATATATACATACATACATATATATATATATATATATATATATATATATATATATATATATATATATATATATATATATGTATATATATACATATACAGATATATATGTGTATACATATATATGCATATATGTGTGCGCGGTTGTGTAAGGGTTTCACCATTGTAATTCTTTATCCACGCACTCTACTCAAATAGCGTCCACTACATAGGCTATCTGGACTAATGTAACATATGTGATAATATAACATATGTAATAATAGTGAGTAAATGACAAAGCAGACAGACCCATTACGGAGTTGATTAATCATATTAATATTTCCTCAATAGATAGGCCGGCAAGAAAAGAACCAAGAAAAGTCTTCTGAAGATACGAAAACAATATTCTTCTTTTTTTTTTAATCTTTCATCCATTCTCCATCTTTCCCGACAGTTGCACGCAGCCTCTTCCTCCTTTTCCCACGGCCCTTGCTTCGCATTTCCGCAAGAAAAAGGTTAAATAGATCGGGTATTATAGACATTTTCCCCCGTTTAAGAGTAACTGGCAACTGACGCCATGATAAGAGGCGATTTGATCGTCTTTAGTCGCCTCGGTAGTGGCATTCCAGAGCGCGACGTTGGCATTAAATCCTACTAAGTCGCTGCTCTTTTGGGAAAATGGCGCCGGATATCGACTTCGTGTTGGAAAATTGCGTTAGACAAGACATAAAGAGACTCAAAAACACTTTACGGATCAATTTCCCTTCGGACTTTTAAATTCTGTTTGGGAAGATACTCCGCTCGGGAAACAAGAATAGT